CAAAACCATTACAAACCAATCATTCATCGGAACTGATTCCCAGTTTGACCACTCTAAAGTCGCATTCTTCAACTACAAGCTTCAAAACACAACTTGCATGATGCATTGCATACAATACCCACGGAGCATGCCCCACAGGTGTTCCACAGCCCATTTCCCCATGCATGGAAACATCTCTCGTGCTTGTCATGGGGAAATGTTCCTAATTCATAGGAGATGGGCAGTGGGCCTATCTCTACTTTTGGGACATTGTGCTTTAGTGGATAGAAGAAGTAAAAAGTAAAATAAAATATTCAATGACATAGAGGGTATTTGGTTTTGTGGGCATTTATTAAAAAAATGCCGCTACATCAATGTCATATAGGTATTGGTGTTTATTACATATTAAACAATTGTTTGGTCTCACCCTTTATCACATGAACACTAAAAATTGAAACGCTTTGATTTATATGCATAAGTCACTTGGGGAAATGTCAAATTCTCATTTCCCCCAATACCCTAGCATTTCTTGAAATGAAATGCTTATGTGGCACACTTTTATGGGATGTTAATTTGATGATGTAGAAAGTAAAAAACGTTTAAAGTAATTCTCAACCAAACATACACATAATAATCAGACATATACATAATAATTGCCTACGAAACCACATATACATAATAATCTGCCCAACTTCAGCTGTGCTTCAGCCATTAACCAAGCCACAAACTACTTAGGTTGCATTTATTTTGGGTGTAAATGAGAATCGGAATAAACTTTATACCCCAATTCGATTTTACTTGCATTTTTCTTTTCGATACAAAGTTTTACATGGAAGAACGATGTAAACTACATTCATGGTGGAGTTTTTCCTTGATAATCGGTGTAATTTTTTCCACAGGTTGACATACCCTTTTCACTTTACAATGGTTCAATATTTAAACCGATCGATGTACTTTTTCATTGATAAAAACTTTACACCAAAAAAAATTGCAACCTTTGAAAAACTTATTCACAAAATCGCAGTTTAATAAACATTTCATCAATCCAGCAACTTTGAGTTGTTACCAAAGGCCCCCAAGTCTGTCTAAGTGGGGTTGCACATTTTGCATGATTTTTTTTAACAGTTTTATTTATTTATTTATTTTTTGAAATAATGTGTAACCTATATCTGCATGGTTAAAAGACACCACATTTCAATTTGAGAACAAGGGGGCCTAATGGTTTATTATTTCTACCGCCCCATTAGTTTTTCAAAGCAGTACAAAACCATCTCAATCTTTCGTGTACGACATAATCTAGCTCGGTGGGCTGGTGGCTTTTCACGGTTTCACCTTTGCTAAATTTTATTGTTGGTGGATACTCAAATGTCAAATCTGACATGTTTCTTTGGCTGCGTTTGGTTCAATGCTACATATTTACCCATTTTTCGGTTTATAAATGTAAATACAGTTCACATTTTAAATCTTTTTTGCATTCATCTTGTTTGGTTGAAATCAGTGCAAAAGTGTGGATTTATCATTAAATGCTTCAACTATCTTATGCTCCAATGCCTTAACTTTGGTAAAAAAGTTAATTATCAAAAGAACATAAAATTGTATCCAAAAAATAGGTACAGTAATACTCTCTTTTCAGAGTACAAAACTGTCAAAAAATACATTTTTACTCTGATAATCATTACTTTTTTACGTATCAAACAAATGCTCGCAAACACAAACCGGTGTACAAAAATACCCCGGTTCAGTGTTTGTATCACAAACAAACGAAGCATTTGTTGAGCTGGACTCAAGACTCAGGATTCCATCACCACCTTACCGCAAACATTATTATGGGAGAATGACTGACCGAGGATCAGGACTCCATCACCTTTGCTAATTTTTTTTTTTTTTTGCAATTGTTGTTCTTTTTCTTGTTGCAAACTTGCAATAATCAATTTTATTGTTAACCATTAAGTAAAATAAATACAGAAAAATATGGGTGGTGTGATTTCTGATTTATTAAGGTTGTGTTTGGTAGAGGTGTAAAATCAAACCGGAATAAACTTTGCACCCAGGTTGGATATTGCAAGCATTTGGTAAACATGTAATTTTACACTGAAAATCGGTGTAAAATTACATTTTATCGTTTAATTACATTGATATCGAAATTTTCGATGTATTTGCTACATCGCTCTCTCTCTCTCTCTTCTCCATCTCTCTTCTTCTTCTTCTCCTTCTCGCTTGCTCGCTCACTCTCTCTCTCTCTCTCTCTCTCCTCCTTCTTTCTTCCTCCGACGAGAACAGAGAGGCGGCAACAACAGTGGTTGACCGTCAGCGACAGTAGTGGGAGGCGGCGACAATAATGGTTATTTGTTCATCATCTTCCTTCGATAAGAACAAAGAGGTGGCGATGAGAACAACAGTGGTTGCCTTCCCCATGACCGTCGCTTTGATGGTTTCCGCAGCAGCGGAGGTGGTGGAACATGAACCTATGGGCTGTTGCAGTGGTTATCTGTTGCCACCGCTTTCATCATCTTTTCCTTGTTTCAAATATGAAGATGAGAGCTTGTTGTAGAAAAGAGGTCATCGCCGAGCCTACAACTAGAAGAACATGGATCTGTTGAGCTTGGAAAATCCCATCCAATGAAAACGCATCCTTAAGTCTGTGGGCTGCAGCTACTCGTTTTAGAATCAGAGACTCTCACGGTGATCCTCTCCATTTGAAATTAGAACTTTTTGAGGCATTTCCTCGTCTAGATTCTCTTCTGATTCTGATTATGTTCATGTCTTCTCTTTTTCTGCAGTTTGGAAGTACGATCCATAGAAGGACTCGGTTTTGCATGTGACGAATGAGGCGTACACTGCTTGCAACACGTCGAACCCAATCATTGCCTACAAGTAGGCTTGTAAACGTATCAAATTCGAATCGAATCAGGCTAGATTCGAATTCGAAACCGATTATGAACACTAATATTCGAATTCAATTCGATACCCGACGGATATCAAATCTTTGAGTTCGAATTCGGTTTTGATTATCAAATCGAATATTCGATTCGATTCAAATGGTGATGGCAGCGTGACGATGGAGAAGGAGAGATAGAGAAGATGATGGTTATCGTCGATGATGGTGGTTGCCGTTGAGACTACTATCACTAATAACGGTAGTGCGCCGAAGGAGAGATAGAGAAGATAATCGCTGTCGTCGATGATGGTGGTTGCCATTGAGACTACTGTCACTCGACCGCTATCACAGATGTTGTTGTTGCCTCTTACCTGTTGGTGATGGTGGTTGCTCGAGCGGCATCGAGTTGCTGGTGTGGCCGGTGTGGTTGCTCGGGCGACGGCGGTGGCGGCAACGACGACAAAGGGAGGATTGGGGTTAGGGTTTGTAAGGAGATAGAAGAGAGAAGAAAACCTGGGTTGAGAAGAAAATGTCGGGTGATTTAGGGTTTAGGGTCGACTGACTGGGGGTTTGAGGTACAAATATCCTCATTTACCCCTAAGAGATTTTATTTATTATATTAATGTACAAATATATTGTTGGGAAAATGGGGTCACTGTAACTTTGGAGGAGAAGCTCTGAGGCGCGTCTGAAGACATTGTCTTTAGAACGTTATTTTCCCCCACTCAGTTTTATTGAGTTTGCTATTGGGTTACAGGCAAATTCGTTCCCAGGATACAACAGAGCCTTGGGCGAGAATCTGCAACCAGCAAAGTTGAAGAGTCTCCAAAGAAACCTTCTGTGAGATTGTAGCAGACCGGACTGAGAGAGAGAGAGTGAGTGAATTTCGAAATTGTGTGTTTTGGAGTCTGATTCATGCTCCTTAAATAATTTGTGAAGAGGTATGAGGAAAAGGTAGGTGCTGGTTTAGAGAAGGCACCTTGAACAGTCACAATGTTGTTCAAAAAGTAGTTAACAGTTGGTGACTGTTAACTTTGAATTGTGTCTCTTGCGCACACGCGTGCGCGGTATCGAATCCCCATACTCTCCTCTACTAATTCTAAGGACTGTAAATCAGCTCCTATTGAAATACTGAAAACAAAACTTATAATTTTCCAATGTGGGACAAGTTCAAAACTGGGTTTTGTAAGAGAAAAACCGATTTTTCAATCAAGTGTGCAAGTGCAATTTCTCATATAACTGACCAATCAAACCCATTGGATTTAATCTCTTATGAGATTAAAATCTATATATATATCGGTTCAGATATTTATTGGATCGGATCAATGCATATCCAAATTCGATCCGATAATTTAATCGATAAAAAATTAATATTCGAATTCGACTGAATATTCGATTCGATTGTATCGAATCTCAGATTCGAATTCGAATTTTTGAATACCGTTTACAGGCCTATCTACAAGAATGGAAACACCAAGGTTGAGCTTGACTGGTCGGGGCTGTTCTACTTCATCAACGGAACTGAGGAGAATTGCCAAAAGGGAGAGAAGGTGACCGTGGTCGTGCTATCGTCGAGACACCCTGGGTCTAGCTCGTCTACTTCGATTCCTGCTCCGACGGTGGAACAAGAGGGACCGGCGCTCACCGCCGCTTGCAGTGCTCTGTTTCTTGGCCGACCGGCAGGACCACAACCTCTTAGTTGCTGTGGAACAACTATACACTCACATTTACACTATTCTTCCAAACGTACATAAGTGTAAAAACAACACAGAATCGGTTCAAATTTTGGATTTATCCATCTGACCGGTTTTCATTTACACTGGTGTATTTTTGTATTTACACTTCAAACAAACAAAGAAGCGTAAAGTGATTTTTGGATTCAGACTACTGGTGCATCGATATGAATATACAGTGGAGTAGGAGTGGGAGATACTAGTCCTTGACTCTTTTAACATATATGCTGTTGTATTTCTCTGTCACCAAATCCCTGTCAATATAAGATTCTATAACTGAATGAAAACAAATGTTGGACGTTTGGCCAATAGATGGTGGACACGGTAGGGTATCACGGATTACTCAATGACTGACTTCATATCAAATCATTTCTCTCTTCACTTAAAGTGTTGGTACTTGGTATGGTAGCTCTCCTGTCTTCTTCATCAATCACCTGGCCTTGCTTGCCTAGTAGCAACACCGCATGGGCACATGGCGTTTTAAGTCTTGCTACTTGTTCCATCCATCCAACAGAAAAAGAAGCGATGTTAACAAACCCAAAGCAACCACTTTCTTCTCCTGTTTTCTCCTCCAATTCATACCAAAATATAACCCCACAATCCCAATCAGGCATCAGCCACATATATGGCTAAAAGCTCAAGAGATCCATCAGAAGAGATGAAGTTCAAAACGATGCAGTACCCACTCGACGTGAAGGTCAAGTTCCTGTTGATGATCGGCGTTCTTTTGGCATTCCTCCTCCTCGTCTTTATAGTAAATTCAAACTCGTCATCACCGGCAGCATACCAACCTCCCAGCGCACAGCTCGAATCTTGGAAAGCATCAAGCGTCTTTAGTAAAGAAGTAGTTGTTGTACCATCAACATCCTGTCCTCCCTCCTCCTCCTCCTCATCAACTTCATCTTGTTCTAAAATCCCACCCTCACTAGCCCAGGCTCTCATCCACTACTCAACCTCAAACGTCACTCCACAGCAAACACTGAAAGAAATTTCCGTAACATGGAAAGTCCTGGAGAAGAGGTCCCCCTGCAACTTCTTGGTCTTTGGCCTGGGCCACGACAGCCTAATGTGGAGCGCCCTCAATCATGGTGGGCGTACAGTTTTTCTGGAAGAAGATAGGGCATGGATCGATCAGATCAAACAGCGGTTTCCGACCTTGGAATCTCATCATGTGGTTTATGATACCAAGGTTCGACAAGCAGAGGATTTATTGAAAGTTGGCAAGAGAGAGGAGTGTGCAGTGGTGGGTGATCCAAGATCTTCCAAATGTAGGCTCGCTTTGAAGGGAATGCCGGATGAGATTTATGAGATAGAATGGGATTTGATCATGGTGGATGCACCGACCGGTTATTTCGAGGATGCACCGGGGAGGATGACTGCCCTCTACACGGCCGGATTGATGGCTAGGAATAGGAAGGATGGGGACACAGATGTGTTTGTGCATGATGTTGACAGACTGGTGGAGGACAAGTTTTCCAGGGCCTTTTTGTGTGATGGGTACATGAGGGAACAACAAGGCAGACTAAGGCATTTCACAATTCCAAGTCAGACACTGGGAGCCAGCCCTGGTGATGGGCTCTTCTGTCCTTAGCTTAGCTTATCTTCTGCAAAGATATTTGGGTGCTCTCAATGGTTTTCTCTGCCTGCAATTTGAGGGTTTTGGGTGTTTTTAGTCCAGTCCTTTTACAAAGAGAAAACATAAGAACCTTTCCAATTTTATAATTTTTACCTTGTAATGCAGTTGCAAACCTTTTCTTCTCTTTAGTTTTTGGCTAAGAATTGCTGATATTTTATGCCCACGAGGGAGAGTGTTGGAGGCCCAAGTCTCATCCCCCTATGTATTACTATTAGCGAAGTTTTCTCCTCACTCCTCAGAGAATGGAGTAAATAAATGTTAATTTAATTATGTAAAAAAATTATGGAATTTTATAAAACCGCTTTTGTCAAAACAAAAGTGAAAATCCCTGTATTAGATCAGTTTGAGTAAAATTTAAGTGTCAGACTCGGTGCAGAGATGAAGTAAAACTTAAAGAACTTGCATAGTTGCTTTCTTCTCATTTTGCAATTTGCACTCTAACTTCTTAAGGCTGCGTTTGGAAGATGTGTAAAACGTCATCGGTGTAAAAATATGCTAATAATATTTTACATTGAACCTTAAATATATATGATCATTGTATTTTAAAATCGGTGTAAAAAGTGGTTTAAATTTTACATCGATAAAATCGATGTAGTTTTTACATCAATTATTGATGTAAAACTTTAAATGTGATGAAGTTTTACATCTATCATCGATGTAAAACTATACTCCATCCAAACGCACACAAAACTGAACTGGAGTATAGTTTTATGTCGATAATGATTATACTTGTTTATCAAACGTGTACAGAAGCGAACTAATGTAAATTTTACATCGCATCCAAATACAGCCTAAGCATTTATGTTTGTTAATATAAATTTGCACTACAAAGTACAAACAATAGTATTTGAGAGAGCTTCCCGGTATCCCATTTTATTTTATTTAATCGAGTTGGGTTAGGTTAAGTTGAACAGAATCCATGCCAAACCTGAACCATAAACATTCCTAGAAGTTGGCCTCATCTGGACAGCACATAAGCATATAAGCAATTTTTTATGAAAAATCCAGAAAGCGCAATTTGCTGTCCTTCCATTGAAGCTTGTTTTGGTGGTTCCCCAAAGCGAACCCGAATCTCATGCAAGCAAAAGCTCTGCTCATTGAAAGAAGAGTCTTTGCTTGCAGATGTTTTGCTCCAAAGTGAAAGAGCTCTCAACTAAAGCTTGGCTCTCCCAAATCGCCGAGAAGAAATATTGTTATGAAAAGGCAATAACCTCATTGGACCACATTCTCCACCTAGCAGGACAAAACCATGTCCTCTGTTTTTACTTCCAGTTTATTTATTTATTTATTTTTTGAAAAGAAACAGACACACAAATATGAAGAAGAGAAGAGAGAAGAGATGAGATTCTAAAATCTAGAGAAGAAGAAGAAAGAGCCTCACAAGCCAGTCAGTCAGTCTCCTGATATCTTCTTTGAAAACATGTTGATAATGAAGACCTCCTTCGAGCAAATCTCTCCTCTACAAGCACCATAAGATAGTATTTTTCATCTTCCAAGGAATATCCACCTTTTTTATGAGGTAGGAGATGACAAGAGACGAATCTCCCTCTATGATGATAGGAAACTCCCTGTAGTTTGCAGCTTGGATATGGGCTACGCATGCAGCCCAAGCTTCAACCTAGTTGATAGAACAAGAACTAAGTTTATATACTTTGACCGCTAGTACCTTACCAAGATGGTCCCGGACTATATAGGCCACTAAACATTTTTCGTCACTATTGTGAGAGGCATCAAAATTTATTTTAATAAAACTATATTTTGGAGCATTCCAATTAATTTGTTTCCAAATCTTGCAAGATGTGGTAGAGGTACTAAATTTATTCCCATCAAAAGTTTCTATAAACATATTGAGAGCTCTATCTAACATTATTGGAATGGAAGTAGTACCATTATTAAAGGTTTTGGAGTTCCTATTTTTCCAGACCACCTATAGAACAAAAGCTAATTTTTCCTTTATGAATAGAGTTTTGCTTTTTTTTTTTTAATGCACGTTCTTGTTCACCAATCACTGAGATTTTCATTTTCATTTGAGCCCTCCAAGGGTGTGTTTAAAGTAAGCCAAACTTGCTTTATCACAAATTTTAAAAATATGTTCAATATCTTCCTTAAACCCACAAAAACTGTAAGAGCCATCATTATTAAATCATCTTTTCCACAAATGGTTTTTAGTAGGCAGTCTATTATTAAACAGAAAAAATAGAAATAAGAGGGCATTTCAAATTCCAAATGCTACTCAACCAATTAAAGTTGCCGGTTGGGTTTGAAATAGAGGAACATTTAAGTAAATAAGTTGTTTTTATAGAGAATGTCCTCTTAGGATTGCACCCCCAAACCCTTTTATCCTCCATGCAGTTAGGGGCAATATGAAAAGTCTTAATGTCTTACTAAACATTTTCAGAGACCTCATTTTTAATTTTTCCTCTCCTTCAAATAATCCCTCTCAAAATCAATAATTTTTGCTACTTTAATATTAATATTTGTAATACTTTAATGATTCGAAGTTTCAATTAGAGGTTTGTCATATACCCAATTATCTAGTTAAAAATTTATAGAACTTCCATCACCCACTTGCCTACGAGATCCCATTTTAATGAGATCTCTAGCAAGGAGGATGCCTCTCCGGGTCTAAGAGATTCCCTTTTTAATTTTAATGTTCAAAAAGTTTTTCCTTCTCAAATATTTGCTCTTAATAACTTTTACCCATAAGTTATTTTCCTCGTTTAGTATCCTCCACCTTAACTTAGCCAAGCTAGCCTCATTGACCCAGTAGAGTCTTCTTATTCCCGTACCTCCCCACCTTTTGGGAGTGCAGATTTTTTTTCCAATTCATCAAGTGGAGGACTTTTTTTACCATTAGTATTGTCCCAAAGAAACTCTCTTTGAATTTTATTCAACTCATTTATAGTATTTTTAGGGATTTTGAATGAATTCATTATATATTGGGGCATCATGCTTGTTGTTGAATTGATGAGGGTTAATTTACCCGCAATTGATAGGGAATGTTTTTTTTCCAATTTGTCAATTTATTCATCATTTCTCTTTAATCTGAGTAAATGTGTTCTTTGTAATTCTTCCAGTGACAATGGGGGCCCCTAAATAAGAATTAGAATTAGCCTCCAAAGGGATTCTAAGCATTTTAGAGAGCATCTTCTGGAATCTATGAGGAGCATTCTTTGAGAAAAAATTATAGATTTGCTAAAATTTGGACATTGGTCTGAGGCCTTTGCATAATTTGTAATGATTTCCTTAATTTTCATGCACGTAGGAATGGTAGTATTTGCAAAAATGAAGCAGACATATGCAAATTGCAGGATGAGAATCTTTGGACCTCCTTTTGAGACTTTGCAACCAATTTGCTTTTCATTTTCCCTTGCTTCATTTTCTAGTTTCTTTGAAAGTGTTTCGGTACATAGAACAAAAATGTAAGGAGATAGAGGATCCCTTTGCCTAATACCTCTATTGGGTTTAAATTCATCTGTTGGATTCCCATTGATTAAAATCTTATAGGATACCATTTTTATACACTCCATAACCCAAGCAATCCATTTCTCTTGAAAGCTAAATATCTTTAGAACTTTCTTAATAAATTCCCATTCCAATTTATCATAGACCTTCTCCATATCAATTTTACAGGCCATAATCCCCGAGCTTCCCTTCTTCTTTTTCATAGTATGTATCATCTCATGTGCAATTAGGATATTATCATTTATTTGTCTATCGGTACAAAGGCAATTTAATAAGGTGATATAATTTTGTCTAGGAGATGTTTAATCCTATTGACAAAGATTTTAGTAATGATTTTATAAATAATATTACAAAGACTGATAGGTCTATAATCATTCACAGTTTCAGGGTTCTTTTTTGGGATGAGAGTGATAAAAGTCTGGTTTAAAATCCCACATAGTTTTCCACTATGGAAGAAAGCTTTAACTACATCACACATTGAATCTCCTATAATATTCCAAATTTTTTTGAAAAATAATACATTTAAATAATCTGGACTTGGAGCCTTGAGATCCTTCATAGAACCAAGAGCCTTACGAATCTCAGCATTAGTAACATCTCTAGAGATTTGAGCATTCTGCTCCTCAGTAACACATTGATTAATTTCATTTATGAAAAATTTTGATTCCATACGTACCCTCTGATTTGAACCTTTGCCTATATTTTTCTGTGAAATGTGATGTAATTTCTAGTTGGTCATCAATCCAACCACCCTCATCCTTTTTTATTTTAATAATTTAATTTTGATGTTTTTTAATAGTAATCATTGTATGAAAGAACTTATTGTTCTTGACACCCAAATTGATCCAGTCAATTCTTGCTCTTTGAGCCCAATAAGCCTCACCCCTTTTCAATAGTTTCTCAAGTTGTTTTTGAAGAGCATTCTCAAGATTTAAGAGGGAGATATTATTTGGATTTTCAAAAATGTCTTTTTGAACTTGAAGAGCATATAGGTCCAGTTTGTGTTAGAATAAGAACAGCCAGCTGACATACTCCAGGTGGCATTCAGTTACAAAGACGGTTACCACTTGTATCACTTGCGCCAATTAGTTATAAGTCAGTTACCCACCGACCCAAAATGTATTTATACCTCATTCCCTTCTCAGTTAATGCAAGAAATACCTACGATAAGTTTCTTTGCCTCTGCAATGAACCTACGTCATTTGTGATAAACTCATGCACCCTGCCTCTGTTTTCTTTGTTTTTATTATGGCAGTCACAACCTTAGAACTCATTTGGCTCAAACAAGTTTTTACAGATCTAACAATTCACATCACAATACCCATAGAATTACATTGTAATGATCAAGCTACCCTCTACATCACTGCAAATTTAGTTTTCATGAACGCATAAAGCACATTGATATTGACTGCCATTTTGTCCAAGAGCGTATTCAAAATAATGAGATCAAAATTTTCTACATCAATAGCAACAACCAACCAGCGGATCTCCCAACCAAAGCTCTCGGGGTATCACCATTTCAAAACCTGTTCTCAAGTTAGGCATTTCGTCTTCTCATGCTCCAACTTCAACTTGAGGGGAGGGTATTAGAATAAGAACAGCTGAGACATTTAGTTACAAATACGGTTAGCACTTGTACCACTTGCGCCAATTAGTTGTAAGTCGATTACCCACCGACCCAAAATGTATTTATACCTCGTTCCCTTCTCAATTAATGCAAGAAAGACCTGCGATAAGCTTCCTTGCCTCTGCGATGAACCTACTTCATTTGCGATAAACTCACGCACCCTGCCTCTGTTTTCTTTGTTTTTACAGTTTGATTCATAAATAAAATACAGTCTGACTCAGATCGTCAAACGGAATGGTTAGGCCATTCAACCCATGCCCTTGTTCAAATCGCTGGATACTTCCTCCTATTGATGCCAATAAGCTAGTTACACTATTTACTACATTTGAGAAAACCGGGAAAGGCATTATAGGCGTTTTACAACTGGGGATGACAATCTCCCATCAGAAAAGCGAAATAAAAAAGTAAACACTGCAGTTAAAAATATTGCAATATTACAATTGTACATATCAAGAGCTCAATGCCAAATTAAATTCTATCCAATCTAAAACGCAAATCAATAGCTCAGACAGCATCACTGAGCTCAATGCCAAACCAAATCCTTCCTGTTCCGTCAAGAGCACCACTCCAGGGAGGCCCAACAATGTCTACATGGCAACTCACTTAAGTTGCTTTACCAACTAACGAATATACGTGGAATCATCCGGTTCAGTCAAAAATTCCTCTTGCAGCTTTTCGAAACATGTCATGGACCTGTATGAAGAATTGATGCGTTTATATAATTCAGTGAAGGAAAGTTTGCAAAAGAAATTGAAAATGATCAATTTTACTTGAAGAGCGACTCTACCTGTTTGGAAGAAAGGCCTATCTTCTCCAAATCACATAGCTGGAACAACCCACATTATTCCTTTCAGATCAGCTGTGTTAACCAAGATAATTGGCCATAACAATTCATGAGATATCAATTTTCTTACCGATTTTAAAGGGCTGGTTTCTCTAAGCTGGAGTATGTAACCTGCTCTCTTCTGCCCAATCCCCTGGATTATTTAGAAAGAAACAGAAACAAATAAGAGACATGTGAAAGGAAGGAAATACACCCTTGTGATTGAATCGGCTGAAATATACCTTTAACCTCTGTAGCTCCTCTCTGAAATAGGAAAAAATATATAAACACAATTAGGAAACTATAAGATGACGAAAATTGAATGAAGAATGTAACACAGGAGAAAAATATAGCTTACCTGGTTGCCGAATTCAAGAATGCAAGATATTCTTCAACTAGAGAAGCCTGTTCAAGTGCAAAAAAGCTCAATTAAAATATTAGAACTCAAAGCTGAAATAACTTAAACCCTTATGATGCTTTAATATTCCAACAAACCTTCAAGTTGGCACTCTGTGTATTGAACTTGTCAAGCGGAGTGACTGTCAGTTGACTGCTGTCAAGTGGTGTTTTTGGAGTCTCTGGCTCAAAAAGAACGAAACATATCCGGTCTTTGGATGAAAGATTTTCTATGGTATTTGCTTTTATATTGGAGTGAATGGGGGAAAGAACTTTTCTTAGAGAATTTTGCAGTGCTCTAATCCTCTGACTTACTGGTATTGACTCCAGAGATTCACTAAGAATGGTTGTCTTGTACTCCTTGTGAAAAGATTCATCTGCACCAGTATGGTATAAGCAATTACCAATGACACCATTTCATTTCCACAAAACATATAAAGCAACATATACATGATATTTGAATCCTCTCACCAATTAATGGTGATCCTACAGAGTTGTTACATGGGATGGTTGTCTTCCCCTCGCTCAAACATCCACCTGCATGAAGGTAGAACAGTATGTGGAACAGCAAGCAAGCCCACTTCATTAGATGTCCATGATATATGCCTTATGCATCACTACAAGTCCACTAAACCCCCAACAATCTTTCCCCAGAATTTTTAAAGCAGCAAATAATCAAGAAAGATTCAGTAAACTCCCCCTTATATTGCACTATAATTTGTGGAGTAATATTTACAAGAAGTTCAATAAATTCCACTAAAAAAATAAATAAAATAAACTCCACTCAAGTAGTCAAGTGCCATAAAATTCATATAAAACATGTATGTAGTTACATGAATGGTAAAAGTAGGAAGGTACCAGGATGATAAGTTTCTGACTTGAGACTGCTAGTCTTTCCAGAATCTGTATCATTGTTTTCTATATGATCCTTAACTCCTTGGTTATTTATCTGCATGAAACTTCTATTTAGAGGAAAAACAAGGCATATTTATTTTATTTCATGCATGAATAAGGAAGGTAGGAACAAATTTACATTATACTGAATATCAGCATGCAGCGGACCAATCGAGCAGTCTTTAGAGCTGTCATCCATGGCAATTGTTGATCCATCATCCTTCGTAACACTGAACAAGTTAGAATCATTCATCTTGTGAAGTATCTTTTCCTGCAAAAAAGAAAAAAAAAAGATTCGGGTAGTTGGAGGGATCTCCTATGAAAAGCATAATACAAACAACTAATAGTTTCAAAAATACCTTTTTGGATAACACAAACAACAATCCATGGAAATTGTTGATCCATACCCTTTTGGATAGTTTCAAAAATATGACCAGAAAAGAAAATACTTGTACACTTTTGGTGATGAATTATGATCAATTGGAGTTCTCTTATAAGTCAAGTGTTTCCTCATACTGACCAACATTCAGTGATGGCTAAGTTTCTTGTTCATGGTTAAGTGTCCTTCTTAATCTGATGTGGGCCACCATATATGTAACCATGCAAACCACCCTTTGATGTGGGATCATATCATTGGTGAGTACGAGGAAACACTCAAAAAAAAATCTAACTGGTCAGTATCTCTATGAGCCAAAAGTGCAATCAATTAATGCAGTTGAGTGGTGAACCTTTCCACCCGTAACGTGCACCACAAATTATGTACCAGAGTGCAGTTTAGGTAATAGACTTCAGACCAAATTGTAGATTATCCCTCTTAATAGTGGCATAGTAATTTAAATTCATGATACTTGATTAAAACAGGTCTACTAACAGCTTTTGGAGAACTTATAGAACAACTCCCACAAATAAAAATCCAAAGATCATCTACGACAGTCCACAGAGAATAGAAAATATTGCACAAAACTTACTAGTCACTACTTGCGAGCTTATTCTTCACTTCAGATTTAGTAATTTCATAGGGTTTGTTCAATTGGGAAAGGAAGAAAAAGTACTATAGAGCAACTTTATAGTTACCTACTTGTTTGTAATGAAGGTGTTTATTAACGGTCTTGATTAGAAAATCTGCAGTTCAACTGGCTATAAAAATAAACATTAGGAGTTCAACATAAAATGTATTAGCACTTTTTTTACCTTTACCTCCATTAAAGAAGCTTCTGCTCCAGCAGCTGGATTCCTGCAAATTAAAACGGAATCAAACAAGAAAATAAGTGACAGAATGTGAGGGTGTTAGCTTCTGTTATGAAGACACTTGGTATAGTCAGGCCTCACCGCTCTTTTGCATTAGATAAACCTTGATTGTCAGTTGGCTTGGCTTTTGCAGAGCTCTGGTGTAAACTGGGCTTCTTTACAGAGCTCAAAGAATTGGGAGTTTTGCTTAAAAGAGGAGAAGCAAAGGCTCCACTTCTCTGTGTGTTCTTTGTCTTGCCCTTTGATTCAAGCCAAGCACGTAGTTTTGCCTCCATGTCAATTTTCACGTTTGGTGTATTTTGTTTTTGAGCTGAAGGGACATAATTTGAAATCTGGCGTGACCGTGCAGCTAAGCTGACTGTGTTAACTGATTCTTGGTATTCCCCTGGATTCTATTAAAATGAAAAGGACATATTAAATTTAAACAACACCTAAAGAACGAACTGTTGAAGAAGGTAAATGTGATGAACTCCTTACGAGACAAGCGACCATTAAGGAACGACTCTTTCCACCAAGAGAATCCTGTAATATCCGGGTCAGTTTACTTTCTCGGTAAGGCACTCTGGCTTTGTTGTTATTAAGAGCATAGATCACATTGGACAAAGCAAACAAAGACTGGTTGATTTTTGCACTCTCTTGCAGACGAATTCCTTCATTGCAGGTCTTTCTGTTGTCTTCATTACCTGATTGAATCGCAAGAACAGTGAAAATGAGAAAAGTGGAAGTGGTTTGTATAAAGACTCGATCCTCACAGAACAATTAGATATTGATCGGTGTGTACAACCTGCTAGGTCTATGAGGTTCAGCTTTCCTTTGACAACATTTCCAGAACCATCACCAGATGGGGTTGAAACAAGAATCACAAGCACCCCGTGGCTTCTACTAGAGACGTCATTCAGACTTGTATGTGCAACTTTGCGCCTTTGAACCCCAGAAGAAAAGATCTGGTGGAAGTTGGACATGGAAGCCACAGGGACCCGAGAGAGCCCCCTAAGTTGAACCTGTCCATCCTTGTCTTCCAACACCGAAATTTCTTTTACTTTGGGTTCTAAGAGATCATGGCACCTGTCCAAATAGACTTCATAGTAGGAAATCTCTGCTGAACATCCTGTCCTCTCGCAAAGGGACAGGACTTCTGACATTGTGAGTGGCATGAGACCAGGCAGCTCATCAGTGCCCTGTATCATCAAAGAACCATCTGTTTATGTATTTACAAAAACAACAGCAATGCATGGAAACCAAATAAACTAAAATTCTGGGTAACACTAAGACTGCAATAAGAAGAAAGTAAATCCAAGGTTTTTGGAACTCTTACCTGCATCGTGAAGGTCTTTCCGCTGCCTGTAGCTCCATAAGCAAAAATAGTAGCATTGCGACCATCAAAGATCCCTGGAATCAAAGGACTAACCTCTTTCTGAAATATCTGACTCACATTGTCGTTCTCCTGACCGTAGAACGAATCTAACTTGTAACATTCGTTTCGACTGCAACAAAACATTCACCCACTAACCATGAGCATTCTTTTATGTTTTTTTCTTGCAAGGTTATGTAGGAGATCGTCTTTACCTGGTCTCATAGTCTTTGAGATAAACAGAGACTTCTTGGTCAGATCCGTTCTCTGGGCTGACAACTGAGACACATGGTATGGGGTTTCCTCCCTTGGATTCTATTTCAGAAAGGAGAAATGGGCGCACCCTTACAATCACCCTGACTTTGGTCACCAAATTGCAATGTAAGTATTTTGAAGATACCTCAAACCTAGCCCTCTTGGGGGTGTTTAATGTTTCTGTTTGCGTTGCCATGAGAGTAGAAACTTGTAAGATTTCGAATTGCAGGAAGAATAGGCTAGACAAAGGTGAGAGAATTTGATTTTGAAAGTTTTAACCGTTAAGAAGCCGTCGTATATAATTTTGAACCCTTTCTGTTTGAATTTAATCCGCAGCGGCCAGCGGGACATCAGTTGATTTTGATTTTCGGCTTTTAACTAATAGATAGATAGTGCATCCACGTCATTCACCAGTAAGTCGATAAGGAGGTCATCTGCACAATACGTCAGGCGTATTGATTTACGAAATAAGATCTCCATCGAACGGCCGAAAATTGGACATAGGATGATTATTATCTTGAAGAGACCAATTCATCGAAACAAATGTTGCGAAGAGAGAAGAAAAAGAATGCATGCTCTGCTATGTAGAAGGATGGCCGTTGGAACCATATATCGAACACTTGCCGCACCAGCCTCTTTCCACTACATTTCTTCTTCTTTTTCCTTTTGCACTCTAAACCCGGATGTTTCCTTCGAAGGAAACACAAAAGGGGAGGAACCCAAGTGTTTATCTTGGAGGGTTGAGAAGCTTCCCAGAGGAGAATCGGTTGTCTCTGCCTTCCAGAGCTGGATGGGCGAGGGGTTTTCGATTCACAGAGGCCATGTCTTCCATACAATTAATCGCTTGAGGAAGCTCAATAAGAACAAGCGTGCGCTTGAGGTGATTGTCCCCTGATTCTTCACCCTTGTTCTGGTCAGTAATTCTTTTTCGTTTTCTGTTTTTCCTTCCAGTGCATTATGAATTTTGAGGTAGTTTTCAAAGGGGTGATCGCACTGTTTCAATGCCATGTAATAGTATCGACTTCGTTTTGTTAGAGTTTTGTTTAATGATAGCTGGTCGAGTTGTAGACAAAAGCTGTTGGATTGATATTCGATGGGGAATACGCACGAATCCTGCTCAGCACAGTAACTGTTCGTTTCAATGCTTAAACGAATAATTTTAAGTAATCAGACCAAATAGGTGAAATTGCTAACAGAGTCACACCCCAAAGGAAACACCTCAATGTTGATCTTTATCCAATTATTACTGCCTATTTGTTTTATGTACTTTATGGACAGATACGTAATTGTTGGCAACTACTTCTATTACAGCCTCATAGGGCCCGTTGAACAATTTGTGATAGTCGACTATGATGACGACGGAAAGACATGATACTGGAAAAACTTATAACCAACCAATCAACTGGTATCATAAAAGTGGTAACCAGTCAGATGGGTTTTCATCAAAATTCATGGAGGTTTGATTGCTCCAAGTGTTTCTGGTATCATGTCTTTCCGGCATCACCGATTTTTCCTGAACAAAAATCAAGATTTGGCTTCTGTTTTCCAGATACCAATTACCTAGCACAGAGTTGGTGCCGTCCAAGCTTGTTGTGACTGAAATACTGTTGGTGCATATTGAAAAATAGTGCAAACCAAATCCCTGGGCTCCTCCGGCCCTCATTAAATTCAAGTACCATTTTATGATGTTCTTGAAGAAGCAAATCACCACATGAGTGTAGTTTTAATTTCTCTTATTTTTTACAGGTGATGGAGTGGGTTATTAGGGAGAGGCCTTACAAGCTGAAAGAACTTGACTACTCTTATCTGTTGGAATTCACAATAAAGCTTCATGGGATATCTCATGGTGAGAAACTTTTCTCTCGTATCCCTTCAGAATTCCGGAACGAGTTGCTGTACAACAATCTTGTCATCGCTTGCTTGGATAAGGGTGTAATCAGGCTTTCATTGGCATACATGAAAAAAATGAGGGAACTGGGCCACCCTATCTCTCCATTGGTCTTCAACCGGCTCATAATCCTTCACTCATCACCTGGCCGCAAGAAAGTGATTCCAAGAATTCTCACCCAAATGAAGGCGGATGGTGTAACCCCTCATGTCTCCACATATAATATTCTCTTGAAGATAGAAGCTAATCAGCAGAATATTGAGGGGTTGGTCAAAGTGTTTGAAGAGATGAAGCGGGCAAAAGTTGAGCCTAACGAGATAACCTACTGTATTTTAGCTACTGCACATGCCGTGGCAAGGTTGTATACTGTGGCTGAAGCCTATGTTGAAGCAGTGGAAAAGTCCAAGACAGGGAATAATTGGTCAACATTTGATGTTCTGCTCATATTGTATGGGTATTTGAGGAAGGAGAAACACCTAGAGTGCACATGGTGTTCCGTGCAAGAGCTCCCCCATGTTAGATCTAAGAGTTTTGTGCTGGCAATTGAAGCATTTGGGAGGATTGGCCGTGTAGATCAAGCTGAGGAGCTTTGGTTAGAAATGAAGTCAAGAAAAGAGTTGAAGTCAACTGAGCAGTTTAATTCAATTATATCAGTGTATTGCAAACATGGACTAATTGATAAAGCTTCAGAGTTATTTAAGGAATTGGAGGCAAATGGGGGCAAACCAAATGCAATTACTTACCGACATCTTACACTGGGCTGTTTGAAGGCAGGGTTGGTACAAGAAGCCTTGAAGACCCTAAAGATGGGGATGGATCAGACAGCCACAAAAACAGTTCGGAGATCAACCCCATGGCTGGAGACAACTCATTCAATAGTTGAAATTTTTGCAGACATGGGTGATCTGGAGAATGTGAAGAAGCTGTTTGCAGAGTTGCAAGAAGCAAGGTATACCAGATATACTTTTGTATACAATACCCTGATAAGGGCCCATCTGAAGGCTAAGGTTTATGATCCAGACCTCTTGCGGAAGATGATTCTAGGAGGGGCTAGACCAGATTCTGAGACCTATAGTCTCATGAAACTTCTAGAGCAGTTTCAGGACTGACTTTGGCTTGTAAACAAGGATAGTGTGCTATTTATATTTTATTTGCATTCCTTGAAACCTAAAAGTAGAATTGTGGATAAAAAGTTGAATGTGGAGGAAAGGAATATCATGAGGACATATTCCAGATTATGGTCAAATGTGGTAGTCCAATTTGAGATTTGTATCACTCATGAGAGGTTTGGATACTTTCCACTTCAGCCGTGTGCGTAAATGTGGTTCTGTCCTTCTATGTGCACAAATCAGCTTTCCAACCAGATTGCTCTTCATGACAGCCTTAGACATCTTCACGGCAATCAAACATCATCCTTTTATCCTTGGGCTAGAAATTCATTCTGTATCTGTTCCTACTTGTCTGCAAGACTGCAACTGTAATTACTTTGCACTGGCACCTATTACTTTTAATAATTTATAGACCATAAAAGTTGGGGGAAGAGAAACTTCACTTTTGTAGACAAAAAAAAAAAAAAAAACAGGTTATTTTGTTAGGTTTTTATTTATTCTTGCATGTTCTGCTTGCATGCTTGCTTCTTATTCCTACCTTTAACAGAGTAATTATGTGACAATGAAGCCTTGAAGACACCATGCACCTAGGAAGCTACATTATTAAACCGCTACAGAAGATGATAGAAGATGTTTTTGACAAAGATGAGCAATCTTTATCAAGAAATGGACATCTTGTTCTGGACCAACCAAATGGCAGGGCTACTGATGTCCATTTCTTGTGCGTTAAGCTCAAGCTGGATCTGACAAATAGGTTAAGCTTACAACCTTCAAAGAAAATGTGTCCATGATGTTCTCAAAATTTGAGATCATTAATGTCTTATCTCCTGTAACAACCTAAAACCTTTTCCTTTCCTATGGTTCCATATCCAACATAGAGATGCTATGAACATTCAGTTGTATGGTAGACTTGTGGAAAACTCAGATACCGTCAGAATGATACATCAAACTAGCTATTTCTTGCAATCTAAGGAAAGAAGAAGAATGAACTAGTAAATGCTGCTTTCCTAAAATATCTGGGAGTCTGGTAGTTGTCTTGGTTCCTTCTGTTCAGATTAGGGATGCATGTCAGGTACCTGTCTACCGGAGATGACAGATTTACAGTGTTAGGCCGAGGCATTCAGGGGCAGGTCCATTCAAATTTTAACAATCTCTCAATCCAAACCCACCCCAGTTGCACCCCTAGTTGGGAATTGGGATAGTATAATTGAGTAACTCTGCAGCAATAGCAATGGCACCTCCTGTAATTGCATCAATCATGATCCTGTCTCTGCTATTGTTTTTGGTTGCAGAAATGAGAGCTCCGCTTAGCGCTCCACTGAGCATTGCATTCCTCTATACCACAGTAAAACAAGGGAGTAAACATTCATATTGTAGAACACCACCATAGCTTTCCAAAAGTAGAACAATCGCATAGAAAGACTAATAATCATGAAACATGTACAGCATTAATATCACTGGAGTAATCATTCACAGCTTGAAACCATGATATATGGGTGAAACTACTGGTAATGTTGGAATTAAAAACATCCAGGCCAGGTAACAAAAGCAGGATGCAACTATGCATTAGCAGAAATTACCCAGTCTCTGGTGCCACAGATCCTTTGAATTCCATGCCCCATTCCCACATATGCTCCAGCTACGGTTCCTGGTAAAAATTGCAAAGTTCAATTGTTTGCCCAAGTACCTCTCTTTGCATATACAAAATCCTCACAGAAGAGAATCCCAGTACTAAACATGTAAATTTCACATTGGCTTACCCCAGTAAGTTCCTTCCTTGTACATCTTCTTCAGCTGCAATGACAGTGCCAACCCTCAGTAGGATCCTAGGTTATTTTCTGATTGTTTATAAAATTATTAATCAGACAAATAAGCCTTCCCATGACATATGTGTTGACATTGCATAGACTATCCTCAGGGTAACCCTTGGGAATTTAAAAGCAGCACCGTAACAGGAATATTGGGGTATAATACATGGCATGCATAGGACTGTAGTGCACCATTTAATGATCCACCTTACATATCTTACATAGAAAATTATACTTATTTATGGCTCTTGATAGAATAGAATGGAGAGAAAGGATTAAGACTTTGTTGAGTTGAGTTGAACTGAGTAGATTGAAAATTAACCTCATTGAATCATGGCAACCTTGAAGGGATGTCACAGTTCAGACCATTAAAGTGAGCCAATTTCGTTTGATCTTAATGAAGAAGACATATAAAAGAGGTTATTACTTTACTTGTATGTCATTGACAGAATGAATATTCTGGTGTCTTGTTTATCTTCATTTCTGAAAGTCATGCTTGGCCCAATAACTGGGAGCCAGAATTAGCTGGAAACATTGCATTAGTTGACTTGCCCTGCCTCCTGTAGGTTCAGTCTGAAGTTTGGCAATATGTGCACATTTAAAAGATGTTTTCTAAATCTGGTAAATGAAGCTGTTGGGAATTCATTATGCATCAATGCAGTTAAACTGAATCTTGTTTCAAAGATAAAATCTTTCAGGTATAGGTGTCAGGAAGGCCTGGAAAATGCTGCTCTACTTCCTCTTAAAAAAGTCGGCCCAGATGGAATCAGATGTCACACCTATCCTCTACAAAACCAGAAATCTAAATGTTGCCCTGTATCAAGTCCTGCTTATATAATCAGCACAACGTTGCTATGACCTACCTAACAGAGAAGTTGCTATCACCTTTTTTTTACTTCTTCTCCTCTTTATAAGAGTACACAGATTTTGGTCCCCATCTCCCATGCCATGATCCCAAGTTGGAACTTAAAAATTCAGCCTACAATCTTGGACGCAAAAGCTATTAAATTGCAACTACAAGACTGAATATGAGCTAACAAGTTAAAAGAAACGAATCAACGAATTCTTACCTTGTGCTTGAATTTGTGTTTTGAAAATTTTCCTACATAAAAAAAAACGCAATTAAGAGGCATAAACAGTGAAGAGTTAATAAACACTAGTGTGTTTTACGAAGAAAAAAACGGCAAGAAACATATGAGCCCTTTCTGCCCTCTACAAATTCAACTTGCTTAGGTCTAACTTGTTAATAACAAGAGTGATGACTGATGACAATAAGTAAAGTAAATTAATAAGAAAAGGAAGAAAAATAAATTAAAACCAAAAAGTTGAAGAAATCGAAGGTAAAAGACCTTTCTGCAAGCGGTAATAGATTTCTTCCGCTGCTACTCTCATGGCTGCCACCTACAAAAGCAAACCTGATGGAGAGTAAAGAATCGAATTATAAGATACAAAAATCTCCAAACTCCAAGAATAATTCAAAGAGGTAGTGGCGGGAAGGAATTACTGTTCCGATCTTAAGGAAGCCATGTATGGTGTGATGAAGGAAGGGGTTCCCCGTATCGATTGCAACATCCAACTTGGAAGGTGTAAGAGAGCCAGAAAACATGCCATTCGGCAGAGTTGTTTGGTCTGCGACGAGTATGGACCAACTCAAATTGGTTTTTGTGAGCTCCACCGATATATTGACTCTCATGTTCTCATCTAGTCATCCCCACGTCAAACCATTTGCTACTGAACAAAGTTACCCAGAACACCTTCAGCTCTTGCTATTGCTGGAGCAGAAAGGAGGAGAAAAATCCAGAAGGAAAACAGTAGAATAGATTGACATGAAGTGTACTCAATTCTCTAGTCCGCGTTATGGGTGGCTGCATATATATTGATGAAGTCCTGCTACTGCGATTATATCATACTGTTTAGATTTTTTTATTATAAATTAGGAATTTGAATAATTAAGTAATAAAGTTAGAAGTAGAGGTGATTTTCTAGAGTCGATGGAGATGTTAACGGACTAAAATTAAGACTGTTTTAATTAATAAACAATAGAGGAAGATTCTTCTCTACAGCCTTTGATGAATGTGAGGTAATGGCTCTAGTTCTACCGTCTACGGGTGATTTTGCGGTGAGAAAGCAGCAACCTGCAAACATTTTGATTGGCCAGACAAATTCGAGAAATTAAAAAAGATATTTAAGTCACTAAATATGTGTACTCCATTCAGCCAGTCCGGGATCTCATCCTCTTATATAGTATTATGCAGGGGAGATGTTCCCAATTGAGGGTGGTGTTATGTGGGTAGACGTGTGCAGAGTTTGTGTAGGCAGGAGATCTGGAGTCCCACTCATCCACCTACTCTACCCAAGTCTCAATCCTCCTTTAGATTTGGGATCTGCTCCTCATAGAGAGCACCTCACACCAGCATTAGGAACGTTTCCCAAGAAATAATAAATAATAATACATAGGGAAAATTACATTTTAGTACCCTGAACTTTGGGGGTAGTATCAAGTTAGTACCCAAACTTTCAAATGTGTCACTACAGTACTTAAACTTTCAAAAAGTGCCAATTTGGTCTTTACCATTAACCGATTGTTAGTAATTTGTTGAAAATGTCAAAACTACCCTTTAAAAGAAGACATTGTTCATTGTCTTATACCTTGAGACTAAACCGGTTGAGGTGTTTGAGATTCTAGACTAATGAAGTCATTGTCTTCTACCTTTAGATCTGAAACACATTCTTGTCTAGTTATTTTTTTTGCTTTTAGTTATTGTTTCTCTTTATCATATTTCATGTTTTTTCTTTTTTTTTTCTTTGAACATAACCAATTCATTCTCAAGGCAGAAGACAATGAACAATGTCTTCTTTTGAAGGGTAGTTTTGACATTTTCAATAGATAACTAATAGTCAGTTTTGAAAGCTCAAGTACTAATTTGACACTATCCCAAAGTTCAGGGTACAAAGTGGAATTTTCCCTAACACATAAGTACAGAAATTGGGATATGCTTCTCACATAGTTTACCTCATACCTACCTCACAGCCACATCCCACCTTGCATTGGAAACATCTCCCATGAATAATAAATTCAAGGATGGGAAATATTTCCAATGTGTGGCCACAATATGCTGTGAGGTCAGTGTGGAAATCAAATCCAGTCCCTCACAACATCCTAGAGCACATCCTTCCCGTGTATTGGGAACATCTCCCGATGATGACATCATCATTTCTGATATTATCATCGGGAGATGTTCTCAATACACAGTGGGGATAAGCTGTGGGACGTTGGGGGGGGGGGTGCTGATTTGAACTCGTCATGTGAGGCACACACTGTGAAGAGCAGATGCAAATTCTAAATACGGGAGATATTCTTAATACATAATGGAATGCGACTGTAAGGTGATTGTAAGGAGTGCTGTGTGAGGAGCAGATCTGATCTCCCTTGGAGAGTGGATCTCCTCCTCACATATGGCGCCTCAGAACGACCTCACAGACACATCTCACCGCACATTGGGAACATCTCCCGTACTTATATGTTATTATTTATAGGAGATGTTCTTAATGCACAGTGGGATGTGCCTGTGAGGTGCCCATTTGTGAGGAGCAGACCCCAACTCCAGGAAAACACATCAAATGCGTTTGATATTTTGATATTTCGCTTAAACTCTCGAACCCTTTCATTTATTCCTTCATCTCTAACCCATCTCTCTCTCTTTCCCTCTTCCTTCTTCCTCCTCTCTCATATCTACTTCCACCATTGCTACCAACTGCTGAAAACCATGCTCAACCTCCCTCCTTCCCTCCCTCTCTCTCTCTCTCTCCTTTTTTCTTTCCATTGGAGGCCACTCACGTTGGAACCAATTGTTCCTTTGCTGCAATCCCTACAAGCGGCATTCTTTTCAAGATGTCCGTTCCTCTCTCTTTCTCTCTCTCAAATTCCTTTTGGTGTGCAGTGCAAGAAGCAGAACTACGTTGGCTGTTAATGGATCAGATTTGGCTATATTTGTTGGGGATTTTGGATAAAATATGGTTGTGTATGTCTTGATATTAGTAGGAATTGTAATAAAGCTACTCATTAAGTAGATCTAACTAAGCCTCTAATGGTGAAAATCTTTCACTCTGTATTAGTACCTTTTAATACAGAGTTTCCTGTTACACCCTAATCAAAACCAACATTCTTTGTTGTAATTAATCGATTTATTGGATTCTTTGGCATGGGAAGACAATATATATATATATATATATATAATGTCTCAGAGGAAAATAACCACAGACAACTCCGTGTTGCAAACTATGTTTTAGTCTTTGTAACCTAAAAGCCTCTAATTCTGCTAGTGTCAAAATGATCTCCAATTCCTCTCTTGGTTTGAGCTCATAGAATAAATTGATTAGCAATTACAAGATATGTAGCCATATCAAATTGCTCATTTTGGGAGAGAATTTCAGAATGAGCAACAACTAACAGAATAATGAATTATGACAATGTTTTCTAATTTTGGTGGGCAATTATCCATTTCAAACAAATTTATTTAAATTGTAGAATCTTTTAATGAAATGATTGATATTTTTAATCATCCATATTAAGGTTTTTAAAACCGAATAGGACAATAAACTGTTCAGGGGTCTAGTTTCCCGGTCGAATGGTCCGACCGTTTGAATCAAACGAACAGCTCGTTCTGACAAAAAAATAAATAAATAAACGGCTAAAAACCGCTGAATGGTTCGAACGGTTCGAACACCCAAGTCAATGGTTTTTGGCCAAAATGACGGTTCTGTGGTAAAACGGAACCGGTCAGATGACCAATTCCTGATTTTTCCGGTCTGACAGTTCGGTCCGGTTCAATTTTGAAAACCATGATCCATATCTTATTCTTTCTTGTTGAAATGAGGCAAGACCAAGAATCGGCAAACCAATTCATTTTTGCCTAGAACAATTAAGACTTTGGAGGAGGCTCTTGAAAAGTTAGAAGGAAAAACAAAAGATAAAAAAAGAAGTAATAATGACATCCGATCTTTTTAATCAAACATTGCCAATGTTATTTAATTCTAGTGTAATGATGTAAAACTGACCAACAATAATTTAACGGATTTCAGGCTTGCAATCCTATTTGTTCCATCTTTGAGGAAAATTTTGAATCCATAAAGCACAAATAAATCAAGAACAAGGATGACAAGCACACATGATATAGCTGAATTTTACATTGACTTTATCAAAACATACTTGTTCAATTCCCATATGTAACATTCATTGAAATGAAAAAGTATATAGTATATACAAAGTAGAGCAAAAGAAAAGCATATATTATTTAATTACTGTATTTAGGCCTAATATCATTTCCTTGGATAATAAAGACCAAACGTCCAGTGACCACCCTTCACCTCCATGATATACATACCCACTTCCCCATCTTCTCCTATGTCGTTAAATAACTCATCTATCTCTATTTCCACGCATCCATCTTCTCCTCCTAAGGTAATGTGCCTCCTGTCGACCCAGCAACATGGATGGCAACAATATGGGTGGTTGCAAGAAGATGAACCTAACTACCTAAGGCTATGTACATGGTTGAAAATCACTCCGGGATACAGCTGGTGAGGCAATTAGGGATCCAGATACACACTCTGGATATCTCCGCCCTTAGTTTCGGCAAACCTTACAAACAACTTTGTCTAGAGAAAGTCGAGGCCTGTTCAGCCACCTCTGAGAACTTTAAAGTTTGAAATTCAGAGAGAGAGAGAGAGAGAGAGAGAGAGAGAGGGAGGGAGGGAGGGAGGGAGGGAGGAGAGGGTTGAGTAGTTGAACATGGTTTCCGGCAGTTGTTAGCAACAATCTCTGGCGGTTAGTGGCACCGGTGGAATCAAATGTGAGAGAGGAGGAAGAAAAAGAAGTGGGAGAAAGACGAGTTTGACATAGAGAAAGGAATGAAAAGGCTGCTCGAGTTTGGATCGTACAGAAAGATTTCTGTCCGCTTCAATAGCAGTTTGGCTGGGAATATCTCCCTATTTATGTGCTTTGCTTCATGGGTAGATATTCCCAATACAAGATTGCAAGAGGCTGTTGGAACGGTGTGAGCATGAGCTTGCTCTGACTGAAGCCAAACTCTTCCTCACTCGTTCAACCAAACATGCTACAATCACCGACATTCAGCTTTAGTTGCTGAGATCACAAAGAAGCAACTGGAGGCAGCTCTTCTAAATCTAATAGATCCCAAGTAAAACAATTGGTTTCAGATATTCCGATCCATCTATCACATGGTGAAGGAAATAAATGATATAACCAAAGGAAAGAATGAAACAAGTGAACGCAACTGAGTGCCATTTCTCTCTTATTCTATTTCTAGATTTCCAAATTCCAAGCTCTCTGATTTATTGCAGGGGGACGCAGTCAGGGGGATGCAGTCACGCAGTGGCTCTACATAATTGAAATATATGAAAAATTATGTACCTTTGAAAGAGCTAATGGCTCCTCATCCTATTGCCATTTAATAAAACATCTTGTTAGCTTTCATCTTACATAATAGTTCTCTATTGCTGTACCAAGAAGGCAAGAACTATTATCGGATTCCAGCATATATGCTCTATTAATGTTTCTCCTTGTCAGGAAACGATTTCTCACTTTTCTTTCTTACCGGCAAAGTGATATATGCAGCCTACAAACAGATTAAAAAGAAAAGATGGTAAATCATATAGATTTTGTTCCTTTATTTTTAAGTGAAAAAAGGAACTTGTATTGAGTTCTGGGTTTGGGAGTCGATGAGGATGAGGATCCCTTATTTCATACATACAGTAGTAGATTAATAAACTTGGGGAATTGAGAACAGGGAAGCTTGTAAGACAAATTCCACACATTTCTATCACCTGAAAAAGATTCACTCCTAATCCATGGGTAATGGAGATTTTGCTTCCCATTTCAATTTTTTGTTTTTTTATTAAAAGAAAATCGATACTTGGAATTTATGAAATTAATTTTGCTGTGTGGAGAAATCCCATTATCATTTCAACTATCCAGATATTGCATATCAACCATGTCTTTGCTCTTCTCGAGCTGAAGATTATTCACCGGTGGAGGAATATACTGTCATTTTAGTTGAAAAGATTATTCAAGGTGAAACTGAACATTAGAGGAGGAAAGGCAAAATTAAACATCGGTGGTTGTAGCATGTTCGGTTGAACGAGAGAGGAGAAGTGAGCTCTCGAGAGAGAAGTGGTAAATGGGCGCCTAAACGAAAACAAAACAAAATTTGGAGTCCGATAGACGTTAAGTCTAAACTTTGTCGGTTTGATAAATGGAACCAATGACGTGTTTAATTATTATTGGGGGGGCCGTAGGGAACAGACGATGTGAGCTCTCGAGAGTTTGGCGGGTTGTCAAAATATCAAATGCATTTCATCACTTTTGGAGTCCGGACTGCCGTTAAGGTTGGGACTCCTTTAATTTCTAATATAGAAAGATGTATGACGTGTTCATAAATCTGAGCTGCCTCACAACCTAGTTATAGAGTAGTACAGACACCCGTCCTCTTCCCAAATGAGGTCAACTTAATTATTACGATTTCAACTGTGATATTAATTGAATCACCGAAACAAAAAGTTAAAAACAAGACGACGATAATTTTGCTAGGCTTTGCAGTATTGTTGTGAGTATCCGCGCCATCCGATGGTCCTCAATCAACATGTTATATTTATATCCATCAATCCACAGCCTTCATGAAAAAGGAAATTTGAGAGCATAAAGGGCAAAAGACGCATTATTTCCACACCAAACTAGTACTTGTCTCATGACCATAACAATAACCTAATATCATAACTTTCCTCCTGTTCTTTATGCGTCATAGAGATTTTTTTTCAACATTCAGTTTTCGTAGACACTCTTAACCCAGACCCAAAGAACATTTGAACAATACACGAAATTAGAAGTTGTTCACTTGCAAAGCAAAACATGCAAAGGAGAAAGATGCTACCTTCTTTCTTTCTTTTGTTGCTCTCCTTTTTTTCATGTGAGATAACTGAGGAACTCTGCAGCAGTGGCAATGGCACCCCCTGTAATGGCATCCGCTACAATTTTGTCTCTGCTATTGTTGCTGGCTGCAGAAATCAGAGCTCCACTTAATGCACCGCTAAGGGTTGCGTTTTTCTACAAGATGACCAAAAAATAAGTAAATGACAGAATCATGTATGCTCGCTGAGTGACTAACAAAATGTTTATGTCCTATTCCCCTTGGTGGTGTTTGTGCATCTTAATCAGATGGAATTAATGCGATGGTCTATATATAAAATAAATCAACAATTTCCAATGGCTACACTTACAAGCTTGAATTGACTTCAAACCCAATTTATCTAACTAAACAAAATGGGCATTTCTACCTTTGCAGTTTAATATTCCTACCTTCTCACCCTAAGATTTTACAACATTCCAATCCCACCCAGAAAGATGTTCATTACCCCAAAATAAGAGTCAATATTTGGTTTCAGAAAGTAGACCTAATGGCATAGGAAGATTACACAACCATGAAAACATGATCTCAGCCAAATAATGCTTACTAAGCAGTTACAGCTTGGAGCCATGGCCCATGGGTGAAACTGCTTGTTATTATGCTTGAATGAAAATTGTTCAGCCATATTACAAAAGCACTTAGCAACCAAACAGAAATTACCCAGTCTCTAGTGCCACGGATCCTTTCAATTCCATATTCCATTCCCACATACACTCCAGCTACAGTCCCTGCAAAAAGTTACAAAAAACAATTTCTTTCTCATTTGTCTCTCTTTACAGAAGAATATAAAGTAATCAAGGTATCTTTTGGGCCAATCTACTGAATCCCGAGAAGAAGAATATCCAAGACCAAACATCTTTACTTTTAATTTGGCTTACCCCAGTAAGCGCCCTCTTTGCACATCTTCTTCAACTGCAATGATAGTGACCACATTAGTAGCATTAGAGAACAGCTACATTCTGATTCTCTTTCTGGATTATTAGTCAAAGGAATAAGGCTTCCAGGTAGCAGCACTTTCAGGACACACTACTAGTTATATAAGCCATATCAATAACACTAATTAATGTACAAGATATGATGGCATTGGACATATCATTCTCATGGAAAACTTTGCATATTGAGAACTATCATCAATGAATGTAACACATGCATGCACAGGAAGATCGCAGTCTGCCATTTAATAGATCCAACTTATGTATCTCCTTTCATTGAAAACTATCTTGATTGAAGTGTTACAGTCTTTACCAAGACTGGTCCAAAGGGATGTAGGGATGCCATAGCTCAGGTCATTATGTACTGCTCAGATTATAAATCCATACGCTTAGACAAAACACACATATTGTACTGCTGTTATCTTGTCAATCTCCATACCTGAAATATGTCTTTAACCCAATAATCCTTATGGTAGTCTAACATTTGATCTGAGCTTTGCTCAATACCTGACATTGGGTGTATTTGCACATTGGCGAGAATTGTAATTCATTCAATGCTAAATATGGTAAAGAGAAATTGTTTGAAACTTGTCATATGTCTATGATGCCTTATCAAAATCTGGTAAACTGTAAGTTGTTAGGAACCCATCAACATCTAATCTTCAAGGACAATTGTGTTCAGGGAGGGAGGCCAAGAAGATAATGCTCTCCTTACTGTATTGTAAATGTAAACTTGATCAGATGCCTTAGGCCATTAATCCTTTCTAAAGGTGGGGAAGGAACTAAGAAAATATAGAAAGAAGATAACAAGTTCCAGTTAGATCCATTTTGGTAAGATCAATATAACCTTACGATGACCACTTCTATTTCCTTTTTCTATGTAAACGAGTATACTAGGATCCAGGTTTCATGGTTGCAAATTAGAACAAGCAATTCAGCCACAACATCAGACCCTAAAAGCTACTAATTCATCAGCTCCAAAACTGAATATAATCAAACCAATTGTGGGTAATGAACAGAGGAAATCTTACCGTGTGCTCAAGTATGTGTTTTGAAAATTCCCCTGCACAGAATTTATACAATTAGGTGAATTGAATAAACCTTTAATATGCAGCATTAAGTCAATATGCAACAAGGGTGGCAGAATCACTGCAGCCGGCACCTTAAGCAACCAACTGAAGATTTTTGCATCTACTGGTTGCCCAGATTATTAGGCCTAGCTAATTCCTGTACGCTCTTAGTTTAGATATGCACTTTGCGTGAATTTGATTAAAATACCAATGCAAATACAGGAATTCGCCGTACATATTCAAATTTTAATAAAAACAGTTTAGACTGAACCAAAAAAGAGCCAACATCAACAATATAATTAAAAGAAAAGGCAAGTTTTTTTAACAGATAAGAGAAAATGAATTAACAAGCAAGGGTAAAGGACTGGACCTTTCTTCAAGCAGTGAAATGTTTCTTCTGCGGTCACTCTCGCTGCTCCCACCTACAAAAAATAATCAGATTATAGATTATACAAAATAGCCGGATGATAAGACATAAAGACTATTTTAAAATAAATATATCTCTCCGAAAGGTGAAAGCAAATGAAGGAGTGAGAGGGAATGTATTGGAGAATTTACAGTTCCAATCTTGACGAAGCCATCGACAGTGTGATTAAGGAAAGGGTTCCCCATGTCGATCACAACGTCGACCTTCGGGGAATTGAAAGAACCAGATAATCTGCTCCGCGGCATCTTCTCGTCGTCGTCTGCAACAAATCTCAATCGACTGAGACTTAGTTGGTGCGAGCCCGTCCAGTCACCAGTGCTGCTGTTCAGTGTTCACTCTCTCGTCTCTCGTGATTTCGCCCAGCAATTTCGACCTGCAAGCTGCAACCATTTATGCAGTGGCATTAGTGTGCCTAAATTTACCAAAACACCCTTGTGATGCAACTAATCCCAAGGGTAAAAAAGTGGAGTGTATTTTGACATTTTGTATGCATCTCATCTCTGGCCCAGTGGCCCTACTTATATGCTGCAAATTTTGCCGACCGTCAAAAATCCCACTCAGTTTTCTCCATTCACTTCCTCCTCCGTCTAAATCAACATCAACGTCCACCGGGGGCCCATTCAAAGAAAAAAGGAAAATCAATCACCGGGTGATAGGTATTTCGTTACACCTCTGTAAAGACTGCATCATGCAAATTTTACACTACCTTCTGAACACGTGTTGCACAAAATTGCTTAGCTACAACTATAAAGTACAAAGAATAAGAAGTCTGATCTGCTATCAATATAACTTCCAATATAATTTATAGCCGCACATCTCATGCATGATTACCACCTCACAAAGTACGATCTATCAAAATATACAAATACGACACGTGTGTGAGATATGTGGTTAGAGATCACGTTAGAATCTGTGTTTTGATAAACGGGATTAAGGGGGTAGGGACGGGAAAATTTTTGGCTGAACTGAGCGTGACAATATTATTATGCCATTCAGTTTCTTGTTTCTTTTTTCTTGTCTTATTATCCACACGGACCACACCCACACCCATGGTAGTGGTAGCGTGTCATGCGCAGGGAGTTCCCAAACAGCCCGCCCAGGATGTCTTTTCCTTCTTCGGGACAGAATAGGATGCATTTCCTATTTTCCAGTTTTTGTTTGCATCCGCTTCAGTTTTGTTGTATTGCAATTATAATCCTGCACTCCTACCCGCTACCTGGTATATATATTTTTTATCCCATTTCTCCCTCACTGGTAATACAAACTTTGCATCTCAAAATGTAATCAAATTTTGCAACACTTTCCTTCTATAATGCTCCCAACATGTCTCAAACATACCATTCTAACATTTTCCCAACATCTTATTGTACAGCAGCTGCGGTGGCTTGTTGAAGATAGTGTTAGGAGCATTTTATTAGTAGCGAATCCCGGCCCCTTTCTTCTTACCTCATTCCCAAACAAATACCCCCCTCCTTTCGGTCTCCTTCATATAATCGTTTTAGTGGGCGCTTTTTGGGATCAATTCTCAAAAAAAAGCATTCATACTTCCAAAGCCCGTTTTTCACAAATAAAAAATGTTTCTGTCACGTAGATAGTGAATAACACTATGCTGTTTAGTAAGATGATTTTCATCACCGTTTTTTATGTATGTATTGGTAGATAAACACCACATGGGATACACATTGGTGGGGTCTCAATTTTTGAGGCATATCTGATTTTTTAATAATCGGCTGAACCAAACAATAAAATACATGAGTGTTTGTTGAAACGCTTATGTGTATCCGACATGACACCGTTTTTTTTTTTTTTAAATGGCCATGGTTCCAAACATCCCCTTACTTATTAAAAACAAATGAGGCAATGACAGATTTGAGGTAAGAATAAACCCATAATTAGACAGCCTATTTGCATTCTCATGCATTTACATTAGTACAAATGAAAACTAATAGGTTAATAATAACATTGTTGGTTTCACTTTAAAAATAAAAAAAAAAATAAAGAAAAAAAGAAAAACACCACACAACCAATGGTTTTTTTTTTTTGTGTGTGTGTGTTTCGTTTAAGAAAAAACGATTCTTTTGAAGCCATTTATACAGCCCAATTTTCTTAGTATCAAAACCAAAACAATGCATTTTGGTGGACATCACCTAATTTGCAAACGAACATAGAAGAGAGAGAAATCAACTTAAGAGGAAGATGAGAAATTACAATTGGAGATTATTGGGAACAAGCTATCGTAGTCTTTAATGAGGGAAAAAATTGCGGTGGCAAGACCGCAACACATGATAAATACCCATGCATGCACAATAGAACCATTTGTAACATGATACTTGGGTTCTTTTTTTTTTTTTTGTGTAGCACAAGTGTAAATCAAATACAAAAAGTTTCTCTTATTTGCATTCATTGGCAATGCAATTTTGTATTCAAAAAATTATTGTAAAATTTGCACTATCTTCAAGCTCATATCTCCTGCCAACAACGATCTTACCCATACCTAACTACGGGACACTACAGTTGCACATGGGAAACATCTTCCCAGTTTACATGTTATCATTCATGGGGAGTTGTTCTCAATATACAGCTGTAGTGTCATGTGGGTAGAAGATCAGATTCCTTCTTACTACCTGAATTCTTGATCATATAAGGTGTGACCACATGATCTACCTTCTTACCTCACGGCCAAACAAATAAAATTTGCACTACAAACAAAATGAGCCTTACAAAACTAGTTTGATGCGGGCCCCCAGCATTGTCCAACCCGTTCTTGTTGGGTTTGGACATAATTTTAGGATTATAGGCTTGAGCTTGGGCGCAAAACATTGGACTCGATTTTTTGAACCAAGCTCAAGCTTTCTCAAAAAATTCAACCTGAGCCCAATCTGATAATATTTTATATAATATCTTTTTTTTTCTTTGTTTATCTTCTCTTTCTTTGAGTCATGATGTAAAATTTTAGTATTTTTGGATTTTAGGGTCATTTAATAGGAATAAATCAGATATATTGTTGATTAAGAAAATCTCCTTGCCCAATTAATAGATTGGTTTCGCTCAACATCTTGGCCCAATGGTTGGATTCGGCTCAGGTTTGGGCTGAAGATATTCTCTTAATAAAGAGTTAAAGCCTGGCTTTATCCCGACCCGACAGCCCAGCCTATGAACAAGTCTACTTCCAACTAATCCATCACCAGTGAAAACCCAATTTACAGAAATCTATACCGGTGCCCCAAAGAAACAAACATAGAGTATTTCCTTCGAATTTCCCTTCACACTTTGTCAGGCTGTCTTTAGACCTTGTTTGATTTCATTTAGAATAAGTACTTGCTTTAACAAGTGCTTATTTTAAGTGTTGGGACCATACATTAAGTGTTAATTAAGTGTTTATGTATGTTTGGTAAAAAAGTTACTAATAAGTACTTTTTTTAAAAAGAAACACTTATAGAAAAAAAAGACCTGAGAGGCTTTTTTTCAACACTTATTGGAGAAGTGCTTATTTCAAATGACATGGGACGATTCAGTCCCTGATATTTTTTAATCCCCAAACTACCCCTATATGAGGGTTTTCTTCTCTCTTCTTCCATTCGAACTCCAAACACGCAAGGGGCAGTGCACGATACCTAGTTTGTGACCAACAACAACCAATGGTGAGAAAAAACGACGGCGAACCAGTTGTTTTGCCAATGACTACCGATTTATGCATTCCTTCATCGGCTTGAACTATTTTTCGGGGTTTTCTTAATGCCTGAAACCCCCCTCTTTGGTATGTTCTCAGATCTATCTTGGGTGAGTTTAAAGGTGACAACCCATCGTCTAGACACTAGCGAATGAAGGTTAGTTCGCCCAAATGAATCCCCTCCATGTTTGATGTTGTTTTTTTGGATGAATCGATTTTTTTCAGATTTTATAGATAAGAAACCAGAAATATTTTGGGCGTTCTTTGGCTGCATTGTATATGTGATGATTCCTATGGATAAGTAGGGTTTTTTGGGCATTTTTTTTGTTGAAGGTCATGCAAAAACTATGCTTAAGTATGTGGTTGCAACATTTTTCTTAATTTTTTTGCATGAATAATTAGTTAAATGATTGTATTTTTATTGATTTGTGATTGTATTTTTCTTTATTTTTTATATGAATATTTGTGATGCTTTTTATATTTTGTTGCGACTAATAATTGGTTAAATGTTTCCATGTTTTATTGATTTGTGATTGTACTTTTTTCATTTTTTATATGAATATTAGTGAAAATTATTATTTTCAACGTACGCATTTATGGGGAAAGTACCTCATCAACATTCCCACCACACTTGGCAACCCTTAAGGCTCAGTTTGGAAGAAGTACAAATACAAATATGCACAATACAAATACATATAAAATAATACAAAATAAAAGGTTTTGCACTCTTAAGAAATCTAATATAGTTTTGATTTTTTTTTTTTGGTGATGAACATGGGTTTGATCTTGAATCTCGACAGAGAGACGAATAGAGAGTGAATAGACTAGTCTGAATGAACCTATCACGAGTTAAAAATTTTCATAAAACCATGAAACGTGAAGATTTTGAAAACAAACATAGTTCATTAGTTTGTATGCTGATGCTAAAAGCCTAAAACTACGGTAAGCTACGCCAAAAAAAGCCAGGACGGCCAGGGGAAGGAAATCCGAATTTATTATCATATAAACCTCTATGCACAGACAGAGATTGAGCTAGAGTTGGAGCCACAGCTCTTTTAATTCGACAGCAATGCCCTTGCCCTGCAGTTATAGCTCGAATTCAGATTTCAGAGCCCATGAATGGCTCAGGCACCTGCACTGCCGACTGCTGAGCAGCTTGGCAAGTTGACAACGACACCACACACCACTGTTTCTAATTAAGACACAATAATTACGACAATCCTGAGAAGCTTTTATTAGTGGATAATCCGGGAAGGAAAACTGACTTTTTCTAATGTACGAGGAAAGATCGACAGCTCATAGCTCCCTACTCGAAACGCCTACGTCAGTACATCACCTCCCCCCTACCTAAGCCGTCAATTCACCGCCGCTGGTTAGCAACTATAGCTGTACAGATTCACCTCCTCTCGACTGTCGTGCGCACTGCCCAATTTTCAAGTGGCCAAGCGGCCCAAGCCCTTTCAGTTAATTCAGTTTCTGTTTTACATGGTACCTAAAGTCCAAACTCCGAAACCAAAAGAGCGCCTTACCACCTTAATACAGGGAACTGGGAAGACGGTTCGAATGAAATATGAGTCTGCTGAACTTCAGGTGCAGAGCAGATAAGCTCGGAGCTCCGGTCGGAGGCTTGTATCTGTAGTGGCGATTCCGCCTATAACCGGGAAGAGGATCCATGCAATGCGCCGTGTCATCGACCGAAGCACCATCCGAAACTGGTTCGGTATCTATTTTAAATCCTCAACTCCCTCTTCTCTTCTCATCCTACCCATTTCCTCCTTTATTTATAATAGTAAATAAACACATCTTCTCTCTCTCTGATCACTTCTTATGCCTGTTTTCTCTGTTGATCTTTCTCTTTCAGTCACTCTGACTACATTTATCGAATAATCGTTTTCCTCGCTCTGTTTTCATGTCTCACCTCTTCGCTCTTTTCTACCCCCTCGCTACTATTCTCTTCTACAGACAGTTGTTTCTGTAGCGTTCCGTTGCCAGTCGCTCTATCCGACATGAACGAGTTTAAATTGAAGAAGGAATACGAGAGACTGAAAGGCGCAGACGGAAATAAGGATCCCATAAAACTAAGCTTTTACAACAGATTTAGATCGATGTTCTGCATCTTCAGGTATGTTCTCTTCACTTGTTTTCTTGACTTGGTGGTTTTGTTATATTTTGGTTTCTTGCCGAGTGATAGATTACCAGATACTGATTAATGCATTGATGTTTCCATCTAATCCTTGAATGTGTTGCTCATCGATGTGTATATATTTCACGCATACACATAGACAGGCATGCCTGGAGCTGGGGCGTATGCATGCATTGTTCAAGTATGCCAATTTTCCAATACTCTTATCTGTATCCATTGCTGTATTCTTTTGCATTTCTAACTTCTGTTAGGACTTCTGGTAAATTTAACAACAGCCCCTTGTTATTATTAAAACCATGAGACAAAATAAAGTGATTGTGTATTATTCTTGACCTGATTTTGTAGGAAAAGTTTTAAGAGGACCCATGAAAATGAGGATTGGATCAATGTAAAAGGATATGAGACATGGAAAAACATGTTTGCCAAGGTGGAAGCCGCATTTGAAATTTTTGTATAAAAATACTCAGGCTAATTTCTTCACATTCTAATTGTGTTACATTGAAATTTCTCAGGAAAGGCATTACTTTGTTGTCCAAGTTGAGAGTTTAACCAGAAAACCTTGCAAGGAGAAATTAATGATGCATCCAATAATGTGGTAAGAATCATGCCCTGCTTTTAATCCTAGTAGTAATTTTATGAATTTGGATATTATGGAAAAAAAATTCGTCCATCATATATGTGACATCCATGAGTGGCTGATCTTATTATGATGAAAGATGTAAAGAGCAATGATGGCATCGTGGGTCTTGTCCATCCATTAAGGAGACATTAAATCACAATGTGACAAAGTGTAAACAGGGGATTTGCTGCAAATACAAAGGTTCCAAGGAGGCCAAGACCGTGGGAACAGGCATTCATCATGATGTAAATGATGCTACTTATTAGATTCCTAGAT